TGTCTTGGTGCAGCTGATATTCGTTAATCTGCAAAGTGAGAGTTCAAATAGAGTTATGTGAAGATAGATCTATGAATAGACAACGTTAGAGAGTAAGTTCCCTCGCACCCCTACATCTACTGCTATAGTTTTGGGTACACTACGAGTAGTCTCTCTTTCGCTTAGTCTGTCGAGCAAGATAGTAAATAAACCCCGAGGAAAAAGTGGCCGCGTGAAATCCTACTTTCGCGCTCTTCTTGACCCCAGGATTTCGCGCGGCCATTTTTGTTCTCGCGGTTTCCATTGGCATCACGCACGACGGTCTGAGCGAAAGAGGGACTACTTGTAGTCTAGATTTTGGGCTGTCAGCGTATAGTTTCCTGCTCTCATCTACGCTTAGTGCGTGGCATGAGAAAGATTTTTCCCTATGTCTGATCTATACGACCCAGTAAATTTCCTCAGATTAGCAATCTCAAATAAAGGATGCATGCAGCTAACCAACATGATCTTAGCAATTATTACGAATTTAGCGGTCGAGAACTGACAATATTTCGTAAAATTTGAGCAGACTGATATATTTCTTCCAGGATCGGTTTAAACGTAGAGGGATTCAGCACCACCGGCAGATGCAAATTATGTCCTTTGGCCCTCATTCTGATGACTACTTTTCACAAATATCACTAAAATCATTAAAAAGGCTATTAGGCTCAGTTTCCCTACACTAAACTACTCCGCACCAGAATCAACCAAGCTACACGGAAAACGAGGATATATTCCTGTTCGTGGAGGAAACAAACGCTTACGTGTCTCTCCAAACAGGCACCAAATGATTCTTATCCTCGGAGGCCAGTAATAAATACACTTGTACAAACATTGACATTGTATTGGATTTCTAATAGGATAGCACACAAGATGCAAGGCGTTCAGGCAAGACTAGCCACTGAAACACCCACCAGTGGCGGATTTAATTTTCTTTTTGAAGGAAAGGCATGTTACAGCACCGCGTTAAAGGAGCTATGTCGCGATTTGCGCATCTCGAAAAGTTTAGCCTATATTTTTCAAGTTTGTCGTTTGTAAACAATGTTTTATATCTTTTTCCTCCCTAACCATTCTTTGTTCCTGTACGGTTTATTATTATCTCTTCGGTGTTTTTATCTCTTAGTAAACTATTAAGGCTTCCTTGAAATTGAAGGTTATATTTCTACGTGGCCAAATTGACTCAAAACACCGTGCCTGAGCTACATTAAATTGAACGCCTCACCTCCTTTACGAACAAGATAAGGTGCATTTCCACGCATATACGGTCTCACACTTTTGAGGACAACTGCATCCCAGCATCGATCCCAAAGGAAAAGTATCCGCAATTGTAACGCCTACACCACTTTCTTGATGGCTGCCGGAGAAGGCGAGATCCATGCTAACATCTTTTGTTTATATTGTTTATCGTTTTGCAACAACAAATGTTAACCAGAGATTATATTCAAATTGCGTACACATTGTATCAATTTTATTGCTATCAAGTTGACCTCGGTAACCCGTAAACCGCAAGCCGAAAGTTCCTTGTTTTTAATTACGCAGAAAATGCTAATCCCTTATTTTTAGCCTTCCAAACTATGTGGACAAGCAGCGAGGACACTCTGAATGGTGTGGCGTCATACTCACTAACTACCGGTCGAATAAAAGCGGACGGGTAAAGGTAGGTAGTTAAGGCATCTGTCTGCACAATATGTGTTATGCTCAGTCCTGGATCGCTGAAACAGCAGATTTGGCGCTAGATGGACATATGCTTTTGCTTGTGGTCTCACGCTGCTGAAAAATGACAAACTACGCTTTAGATGTCACCGACCTGTTCTTTGCTGGGTTTTAAAATGAAGCTGGGTCTCAGAATAAAATCGAACTCGACAAGATGAACAGTTTTCGCGGTTTTGTTTTAATAGGACTGAGAAATGCGCATATTAAGATGTTATGCTTGTCCTGGCACATCCCATTCCACATGGAAGACTTCGATTGTTCAAAGGGTTGATTACGCCATCCACTAGATAAATGACTATCCAGTGAACAATTAGTGTTAGATAGTGATTTATCCCACTGCTGGATCTGGAATTGTTCATACCAAGTACCGAGTTGAAGTACCGAGGCCCGCCTTTTTGGTAAAACAAACTTTAAGTTTTTTGAAGTTGTAAAGAATTGTAATTTAGTAATTTTCCGTAGAGCGAAATTCTGGTAAGTAGTCATAGATATGACTTCCTGCTTGGGCCTTACGGTTTAATGCATATTTGTTTGGTGATGCAATTGATAAGGGGTCCGTACAACGAGTTCTCTTGCATGCGTAGTTTGTGAGGCTTTACTCCGCCAAACATCCTGGCATCGAGATAAGTGTATTTCACCTTTCGGTTTCGCAAGATTACGCACATTTCGTGTTTATGCTGGCAGATTAAGAATTCTGTTAAGTTGAGGCTCAAAGACAGAAAGAATTAGCAGTGCACAGAAGGATAAGACTAGGATAGAATTGCAAGGAATATGTTTATTTGTGATTAGCAGTTACTACTGATAAACAAAAGATACATTTTACACCTATTATTTTGAGTGCGTGCTCAGACGAAACGCTTATTCTGCTATTTAACTAAATAACATACATACATACATACTTTATTTGCAACTCCCCAAAGGGGCTTTTCAGTTACAAAAGGAATAAAAAAGNATTTCTTTAGATGTTGGTGCCCAGTCCCAAGGTCAAGCAAACGATTTTCAGCAAGGCGCAAGTACAAAAACAAATACGTAACCGAGCCGGCCAAAAAAATAATCTGAGGAATAGGAAGCTGGATAGTTTGCATAAGAACGAAAAAGGGTTAGTTCAGTGGAGCGAACGTGACATGAAATACCATTCATGTCCGTTTGAGCCTGCAATATAAGTCAGGAGAGTGACGCCTCTTTACGCGAGAAGCTACCGTGACAAGGTTCCTCTGGCAACATGCGTGGTACCATCATCTTCGTGTTGATTATAAGATTAGAATGGGAAATCCCCATTTGCTAGCATTAGTGCGCTGTATTGTTTGCCTCGTCTTTGGCTTGATTGAAGTATAAACCAGGGAAAGACCGATAGTCTACCAATGTCGTTTGGACTTCTAATCAGTATTTCCATTTTGTCTGTTTCAGCCAACGTCCTTCTTGAAAGGGACCTGCCATCTCAATGGAAGAGGATTTTGTATTTAGAATTTCCCTGGTTCTGCTATGTATTTCATTACTGCTATCCATGATCGTTTTGTTTCTAATTGTACGGCTTGCAAAAATCCATCATCAAGTTGATTCCATTTCCAAAGGATGGAGCGTTTATTGCAGATTAACACCCAACCAGAAAACGCCAACGACCACACAAAATCAACCAGAAGCCCAAGACACATGCTCGCCACTTCCATTGGTTTTCTCTAACCAGCAAGCTGCAGGTTCAGGTATCGTTAACTCCTGGAAACATATCAACAGAGCTTTTGCTTATGCATCAGTCCGTTCCGATGTCGATAGACCTCGCCCGAAAACAGAAGAAACAGATTTTGTGTTGCACGTAGAAGATAACAAATCAGATGACGATTCCAAGACGGAAGAACAAACAGTTCGAATTTCCGATGTCCCAGTGGCATCATACCTGCAGATAATTGGTAATAGCTCATCGATCGTGGCAATCTCTACCAGTGAGTGCCCCATAAAGGATATAAAGCAGGACAAAAGAAGAATTCATATCAGCGTAAGCAATGCCGATGATGATGATGATAACTACCCAGAACCCCTTGAAGATTGCGCACAAGCAGAACTTGAAACGATGCCTTTAGTGGACGAGGAGGATTTGGGTAGCGAAGATTTGAAAATCTGCAGCAAAAATGAAGCAAATGAGCAGCATATCAGTTTAAAGAAAAATGATATCTCGGAGGCTACAAAAGCATCAGGCACAGTCAAATCTAAAAGCTTAGTTTCGATTGAGGAGAACAGGGAAAAATCAGCTGAATTTTTCATCGAGTTACATAATGTGACGAATACTAAGTTTCACGAACAATACAATGGAAAATCGTCCCAAGAGATGGAGACTGAGAACAAAGTAAACGACAGGGTAATGGATGGCACAAAGTTACCAAATGAAAATGAACATGGATATGTCGCGGTTACCCATTCAGATGAATCACTTGCATTATCAGAGGACAGTAAGAAGGCGATGTCTTGTATTGGCGACGAATCTGAACGCGTTATTTCTACAAAAACTCGGCCAAAAGGGAAACGGCGCCGTAAAAAGAAGAGTGTCACGGATGGCATCCACTTTGATGGAAAGAATGGGTCCGAAACTCAAAAAGAGGTGGCGCAAGTGGATAATAATATAAATGAAGATAAAAGTGGAAAGTGCGTGGAGCAAATGGGCAAGACCTGGCTTAGCAGTGCTACTGATTTTCAGCAAACACAGCAACATGCTGGAGAGAAAGTGAAAAATAGTGCATTCTCAGATAATGATGAGTATGAAATCGTCAGCTACGTAGACCAGTTTGTCGTCAACAATGTGGGTACCAATGTTCCACTCACCCAGGAGAACCACGATCGGAGTGTTTCAGAAAGCGATGGGAAAATGAAACCAGAAGATGGAATGCAAGAAAAATGCAAGGATGACCATGCTACTAATGAAGATGCAACGGAAAGTAATGGGTCATCTGGCATTGTTTCGCAACTCCGAGACTTGCTCAAGAGGAAGTCGCTCACTGACTCGGCTAATTGTGTTGACAGAGAAAATAAAATCACGGTGGAACCTGATGCTACCGAGTCCTTCAGTAAAGAAGACTATTTAACAGTTGTTCAGGAAAGTGAAGTTCACGAGAAATACGCAGGCGAAGAGAACTACTCCACAGCAACAGATCTTGATGATCCTCATTGCACAGCTGAGCAAATTTACTCTAATGTTGATGACGGCAACGATGATCTATACTGCGAAATACCCGCCCCAGCGCAACCAGGCGTGATTTACGTCAACCACGACGACAATCAGTATGTTGGTGATGAATTTTCCGACAAAGTTCCTATTTACGCCAACATCGGCCTTCCACACGGAACAACCATGTTTTACGGGAACGACGCCCTTCAAAGCGAGTACGAATTTGCGATCTATAGTAACGATGCAATTGATGTTTAGTGTTAAAGCAAAGGCACCTGAATTTCCGCCTTTCCTCATTATGGCGAATTTTCATCTGTTAGCGTTCTCGAAAAATACTGCCAGGTCAAATTTGTATGCTGCAATTGGCAAAAAAAGTGTTAAAATTCAGTATAATCAATGAACTTAAGAGGACTAGAGAAATTATGTCTTCTGATCTTTTGAAAACAGGGCCAGGTTTATTACAGGGGCGGATCCAGGATTTTTTAAGGGGGAGGGGGGTGGTTGGTACCTTGCGGTTGCAGAATCAATGGGGCAGGTTCCCAAAATTTTGCAATTTCAGAATTGAATCCTAATTGAAAATCGTTTCACAAGAAATACTAGAAATGCCACAAAGTAGAAATTACAATGACGTGCCTGTCCAAAGATCCAAAGACTCTGCCCTTATTTAGGCCAGAACATTCACAAAGGCTTTCAATTTTTTTGTTTTGCTTCTCCAAAAAGAAGGGGAGGGTGGGAAGCGGGCGGCGGCAAGCCACCCAATCCATCTCCTCCTAAATCCACCCTGTATAAGTAGTTGCCCTGTTGTTTAGCAAGTTAACCAAGCGCCTTACCTTTTCATATAGATAACTGGAAAGTAAAATTTAAATCAGATTGGTCATGTCATTTTTTAACTTCATGTACTTAATGCTTGTACGTCCATGTTCGG